ATTACCAAGGAAAAGAAGAATATCCTGCAATTCTGGCTCATAAATGCCATCTTTTAAATATCTAATAGGACATTTGATTTCTTACTTAAAATTTAAGTGAAGTTCCATTCAGTATGATGTCTCTGCTTCATTCTTCCCCAATTAATATTCCATTCCCATATCAATGGTTTTTATCTTTACTCTTGTAAGCCCTGTCCAAATATGGTGGTTCAGTATGTATGTACAGTTTCTGTATGAAATACAGGATGATTCAGCATTCAACATTGAGGCTAAGAAGTATCATTTCACTTTTTTAGGTACTTTCATTCCTAATTGTGGTTATTGCTAGATGGGAAATGTGTGAATGCAGGATTTAATGATATGTTGCCATTGAGGAAAATTATGAAATACACACCTTTTTAAGTGAAAAGATGTATTTCTATTATATGTGTTAAAAGAATACAAAACATTTATTAAACATATTTATATTATGGGTTCACATATATTGAGGAGGCAGGATATTAGTTATATATACATATATTATGAATACATGTACTAAGTATGAAAACGTTGGTGAGGGGGTGGATAACAAAAGAGTCTTTTGGTTTTTTTTTTAATCACTTAGCCATTTTTATAATAAATATGCCTCTGGTCAGCGACACTGTAACAAAAGCCGGGGGCTGGTCTTTCAGCATAGAACATTCATAAAGAACATCTCTCATAGGCACATTTAATTGATGTTTAGCCCTTTTTGGGACCTTAACTTTAAGTGGTAATTTTCCTTTTCCATAAAAGACAGTGAGATTCTCATTTTCAGATGGAGAACTTTTAATTTTTTGTTAATGTTTTTAAATGTTTATTCTTCTGGTCACAGAGACAGAATGCACGACTGGGTTGAGGGCAGAGAGAGAACACAAGAATCCCAGAAGCATGCTCCAGGCTTCAAGCTGTCTGCACAAGAACTTATAATGAGGGCTCTTTCTAATGAATCATGACTGGTATTTGGGGAGCGCTCCTTGACTATTCCCAGGCTTACCACAGGTGCCCCAGATGGAGGAACTTTAAAAGTAAAAAGAGTGATCCACCCACGATTAGAACTAGTAGAAGGAGACAAGCCTCCAATAGCTGCCTGTTTCCCTAGTGCAGCTTTCTTTTTCCCTCTATTAATTGTAAAATATATATACTATACTTCCTCTCATCAATATTATTATTGTGTGTGTGTGTGTGTGTGTGTGTGTGTTATTGTGTGTGTCGTGTGTGTGTGTATTATTATTGTGTGTGTATCGATGTGTGTGTGTGTGTGTGTGTGTGTGTGTGTGTGTATATATATGTTACCTGTATAACTTTCACCCACATCACAATTTAAATGGAAGCCATCTAATAAAATCGAAGAAAGAGGTATTAAAATGAGAGAGTAGTACAAATGGAAGGTATTCAATTGTTAATCATGCGGCTGTTCTTTCCTCTTCTGATTGTTTAACTTGATGACATTAAAGTACATAGTGCCACAGTAAATATTAAACAGAACACAGTCACCAGTTTATAGGATTATTATATAAGTACTCTTTTTTCTTTGTTACATTGTTTTTCGTGCATAATATGTTGCAGCAGAAAGAGAGGAAGGAAAAGTAAAACTGCATTTGGAGCAAAAGTATTCTCAAGATTATTTTAAAATTCTTTTCTTTTCTTTCTTTTTTTTTTTTTTTTTTAGTTTATTTGTTTTGAAAGAGAGAGCACACCGCATGCATGAGCAGGGAAGGAGGTAGAGAGGAGAGACAGAGAATCCCCAGCAGTCTCCACATCCCTAGCCGCCAGCACAGAAGGGCTCAACTGGAGGGAGAGGCTCAGTCCCACTACTGTAATGAATCTGACCTGAGAGGAAATCGAGAGGTGGTCACTTAGCCAACTGAAAAAAAAAAAAAAAGAAAAGAAAAAGAAAAAGGAATGGTAACAATCTTGAGACACTTTGCTCCAAATGCAGTTTTACTTTCCTTCCTCTCTTTCTTTCTGCTGCAGCAAATATGTTATGCACGAAAAAACAATGTTGTGAAAGAAAAAAGAGTACTTAAGTAATAATCCTAAGTAAACTAAGTGACTGTGTTCTGTTTAATATTTACTGCACTATGTACTTTAATGCGTCATCAAGTTAAACAATCAGAAGAGGAAAGAATGTTTCTAATGATTACCAATTGAATACCTTTCCATTTGTACTAATTTCATTTTAATACCTCTTCTTGACATTTTATTAGGATGGCTTCCATTTGTGATGGGGTGAAAGTTATACAGGTAACATATATATACACACACACACACACACACACACACACACACACATCGATACACACACAATAATAATACACACACACACGACACACACAATAACACACACACACACACACACACACACACAATAATAATATTGATGAGAGGAAGTATAGTATATATATTTTACAATTAATAGAGGGAAAAGAAAGCTGCACTAGGAAACAGGTTATTGGAGGCTTGTCTCCTTCTACTAGTTCTAATCGTGGGTGGATCACTTTACTTCTTTTAAAAGTTCCTCCATCTGGGGCACCTGTGGTAAGCCTGGGAATAGTCAAGGAGCGCTCCCCAAATACCAGTCATGATTCATTAGAAAGAGCCCTCATTATAAGTTCTTGTGCAGACAGCTTGGAGCCTGGAGCATGCTTCGGATTCTGTGTCTCCCTCTCTCTCTGCCCCTAACCCAGTCGCATTCTGTCTCTGTATCTCTCAGAAATAAATAAACATTTAAAAACATTAACAAAAAAATTAAAGTTCCTCCATCTGAAAAATGAGAATCTCTCACTTGCCTTATGGAAAAGGACAATTACCACTCCTTAAAAGTTAAGGTCCCAAAAGGGCTTAAACACTTCAATTAAATGCTCTATGAGAGATGTTCTTTAGTGAATGTTCTATGCTGAAAGACCAGCCCCTGCATTTCTTTTGTCGTTATGTCACTGACCATATATTTATTATAAAAATGGCTAAGTGATTAAAACCAAAGCACTCTTGTTATCCACCCCCTCAACTCTCACCGTTTAATGTTTATACATGTATTCATAATATATGTATATAACTAATATCCTGCCTCCTCAATATATGTGAACCCAATTTAATATAAATATGTTTAATAAATGTTTTAAAATTTTGCCATTTTAGAAATACATCTTTCAATTTTAAAAGGTGTATTTCACTTAAAGCTCAATGGCAACATATCATTAAATCCTGTATCTTACTACATTTCTCCCATCTAGCAATAACCACAATTAGTAAATGAGTAATTCAAAAAGTGAAAAAAAACTGACATACTTCTTAGCCTCAATGCTAATGCTGAATCATCCTGTATTTCATACAGAAACTGTATACATACTGAACCACCCTATATTTTGGACAGGGAAGCCATGAGTAAAGATAAAACCAAGTATTTGATATAAATGGGAATGCTTAATTTGGGGAAGGTTATTTAAAGCAGACATCATAATGGAATGGAACTCTAATTTCTAAATTTTAAGTAAGAAATCAAATGTCCTATATTTAGATATTTTAAAAGATGGCATTTTGTTTCTCAGACTGCAGGATATTCTTCCTTGCAATAAGTAAGGGACCAATGAAAATATGTTTCTAATAATAAATTTCAATTCTTTTTCTAAAATATTTATATTCAGAGAACTCAGTTCCATCACAGGAATGAAATTCTCAAAATTCTAGATTAAATTTTTTTTTGAGGATTTACTTGTCAGTATAACATCTGCAAAGTTCCTTAAAATGGTATGTTTTTTTTTTTTTT